ATCAACAACATAGCATCAAATATTCATCGTTCAATGTAATGGTTAGAATTTTTTTTGTATTTAGCCCAAATTTAAGTATTATGGTTATTTGTCAAGTTTTTGTTTAAAACCTTAAATTTTAGCAAATTTGGTATTTATTTTTCTTCTTTTGAGGTAATGAAAATATGTTTGGAATAAGATTGTAAGTAAATTATTTGTATCATATTTTGTTGAAATATAGAAATAGAATAAATCAAGAGAAAACTTACTGTCGGCTTCCAGAGTGAAAACTTGCACAGCCCAGATGAGAAAAACAGAAATAATTTTAGAGTTGTAGGATTTCATGTTGGGTGTTCCACTTCAGTAAAACCTGCTGTGTTCTGAATTTCACAGAGTATATGTGGTCGACTACACTTCCTGTTTGTTATTACGGGGGTCTTTGCAGTTGCTCCTGTAAATGCTGCTGCACAACATGTAGCCATTAAAGGAAAGGACATTTTCAAACTCCCACTTCTCTCAGTCTCAGAAGGTTTGAGGTGTTGGAGATTTTAGAGGAAACATTTCTGCTTCCAGGTCGATTTATAGGAAAAGCATCACAACGAGTCAATTTCTCCTCATTAAAAATTTAACAAGTTCAGTTACACATTATGCTCTTTGATTGCACACAATAATTAATATACATTCTGCATTTCTCCAACAATCAATAACTACTACAACGATTTTTAGTCACACAGTCGGAAAACGAGTCATAGAACCAGAAAAATACATRAAATTATTCCTGTAATCTGATGTAAAGTTGATTTCAAGTCATGGACGAGTGACAGCATAAAATCAGTTTTTAACTCCAGGTAACTTTAACAAGACACAAAATATACTGAAGAACAAAACATTTTGTAAAAAGTTCCCAAAATTGTTTAACAATCAGGAGGTTTGGCTGCTCTATAAGTAGATTTTTGTTCTTTTTAACCTACAATTTAGAGGATATTTGACATTTTTATGATAACAAAAACTCAACTTTAAGATAATCACCATTTTTCTACTGATGTGAATCTTTCTATTTTGTCCCAAATACAGATCTAAAATTAAAAAGTAACTTTTTTTTAAAAGAAGCTTGTTAGCAGCTCTTGCACCAGGTGAGGACGGCACATGAAATGAAGAACRTTTTAGTGGTAAAATAAAACTAATTGTGTTTTTTTTAATAAGGCAGTTCATGGCAGCTATGGTGTACGCTGAGTTCACTTTAAACCATTAAGTATCCATGTTTATGCTAATATAAGAGCATTTTATCTGTCCAATTATCACTCACTGTCATGATCAGCAAGCAATCATTTAATTACTTGTGTTAGCAAAATATCTCATGAACCACAAGTCAGAGTTTAATTGAAGGGTCTGTTTTCAGCAGATCRACATTTTTAAAGTATTTACAAGTTAGAATGTTTTTTCAGCCTTGACTTTCCATTCAGGTCAATAACTATTTAATGTGTTCAAAAACATCACATTTTCATAATTTAGCTCACTTTCTGAGTGCAGCAGAATGATGTCATTCAGTGACAGAAACTAAACCCTGTGAATCGACTAAAGCTACTGAAGATTGTTTTTAAAATCTAAATGAAACCTTCAGAAAGTAATCAWTGRCTGTAGTCTATCTACAATTCTATAACTTTTTTTATTYTWCTCAAARTGTCTGTCACAGCTAATCAACCTTCATAAATACAAAAATGGACACAACTCAGTCAGATTTACAGATTATTGAGTTAATGTCCAGCATACGCCAAATATTAAAAGATTCTACAAGATCTCATAAAATTGTAATATTGATCTTGAACATGTTTCCATTTTTTGTCATTTTCATCATAGAAAGAGGATCTTTAAGTTTATAGCTTTACTATAAAAGCTTTATTTAAGGAATGCTCAACCTTTCATTTGGAAAGCTGGATCTCTTTGGCCTCAAGGAGTAAAAMAATTGTTTAAATGGTTTTAATTTAGACTTTATTTTCTTTAATGTGTTTTTTTTTTATCATTTTTTAAGTGACATGTTTCCATTAAAATTTGAGGAACTGGAACATTTTCCCATAATTGTGTAAAACTGACTCCAGTTACTTTCAATTCATGATCATTTCTTAGTAAATAAAGTAGAACACCATGCATCTGCTTAAGAAAATAAACATTTTTTACATTTTGTTTGTTTTGGTTTTAAAAAGTAACCTATACCCATGCTACATGCTAACAACATGAGGAGATTAGCATTAATTATTTTAAGTGTTTTGCCACATGAAAAAAAAAGAAGAGAAGACTTAACAAAACGACATTTTAAAACATTTGGCTGCTCATGACTTTTGCTGTAATTTTTTTTAGTACTGGTGGCATCTTTAAAGCTGAAGTCTATATGGCTAAGTAAATTAGCACTCAATGTCTTTATTTAAACTTTTAATYCACTTAAAGCCCTGTCACACTGTGACATTTTAGTCAACTTTTAGCAACTTATGAAAATTTTAAAGCCATCTACATTTAAGATGGAATTTTATTTAAAAAAAAATACTGGAAGCCTCTTTTAGGCGTGTATATAGTGTAACAGTAACAAATTGATCAAATTTACAACTTTTTTGGTAATTTAGACATAAAAAATTTCACAAGTTGTCTAAACATAATAACGTAACAGGACCTTTAGAAAGTACTAATTGAATTTTTGCACCTAGATGGGAGATGTAGACGTTTATTTATTTATTTATTTTGGTCTCATTTTATTGTAAAGATTGTAAAGTTGCACCACGAGGTAAAAAGGGTGTGAAAAATAAAGTGTTTTAGAGACAATGACACTTCATTAGTCATAATCATTGTCATAYAATTCACTTCTTTGTACGGTGACAGATGTGCTCATTATTCTGGACTGTCTGCAGTTCTTTGACTTGATTTGAGTTCATAAATATGAGATTACGTATGTCCCAGAAATAATTAGAGCAGAAACAACACGAAGTGCTGATAAGAATCCATCCTTTTCACCTTAAAATTCCAGAGGTTTCATTTGGAGGAAAGGATCAAGTGTTTCCAAAATGTTGACAGCAATTTAACAATAATAATTATCTGTTTCCAGATTTCCTGCTGATGAAGATCCTCCTGGAGGAAACGCACCAGATCCAAACATTCCTCCAATGATTCATCCCTGCAGTCTCAAACCAGACGTATGGCTGCGTACTCMGTCTTCTCCTCCATTATCTGGAGTCGAGCAGCGGTCCTTGGTGGCGCCTCGTGGTTCAGAGCAGCGTACACAACAGAACTACCATCCTCTGAAGGTGCTGTGTTCCTTTCTCTGTGTCTGCTCTGTTGCCTCTGAGCGTAAAGATGCTCATTATTTGCTGACATCAGCTCGTTGAGGTGCCCCGGCGTCTTCCGCTCACTGGACCTGCGAGACGGCATCAAGCTGGGGCTTCCTCTGGGCGAGGCCTGCAGGCTGGAGGTGTGTGTGGCGGGTCGTTCAGCCATGGGGATCTCCATGTACTGTGAGAACATGCTTTATTCAGTCTTTTTTACACTTTATGTGAGGAGAGTGTGAGGTTTTCAGACTCACCTGATTATCAGCTTTTGTCTCAGGGTTTGGTTTCCCTGCAACACAAGCAGTTTACGTTTATTTTTTACAGTATGAATCTCCTGCAGTTATTAAATGACATGAAGAAAATAATGAATAAATCTTACTTTTACACCCTCTCATGGATACCACAGATACAACAATCACTATGATGATGAATGAAGCKGTTCCAGCAGCACAGTAAACATATATAATGATGGAGTCTGCAGGTTGTTCAGTGTCTGCTGGACGATAAATATGACTTAATGAATTTAAGAAAGACAAGAATTCAAGATAAGAAAAGTCTTTTCTCCATCCTGTTATCAGAACATCATCTACATCTGTTTATGTTTAGATTCATGAATGTGTAAAAAAGCTTTTCTTACTTGAGTCATTTGTCTTTTCTTTACTTGTTTCATTATTTGTATAATGATCTGTAGAACAAAACATTTCATCTTAAGGCTCAACTTAAAAGATGTTTGTCAAACTAATTAGAATAGTATGTATTGCCTTGTTTTGCAAATTAACAATTATTTTGGCGTTTTCGATCTAATATTCTAATATTAGATAACTGACAAAGTTACTCACCAGTAGTATTAATGAAGATGGTATGACTGATACTGCCTTCACTTTTACACTGATATCTTCCTGAGTCACTTTTGAGAAAGTTTTGAAAGATCAGGTAGGACACCCCATAATTCTGTTTTAAAGTTTTCCACTCTGTTTTAATGTGACTGTTAAAGGTGATGTTGAACCAGTCAAGATTTTCTTTATTTTTAACCCAGTAGACTGCAGGAGGTGAACTGCTGCAGAACTCAACTGGACATTCAACCCTGAGTTCTTCTCCAGGATGCACTGTATAAACTGTTTGCCGGCGCACCATCACACCAGGTGTGCATTCTTTACCTGCAGAAATAAGAGGACAAGACAGAAGAGAATTCACATCATCAGATGCTGCTTTCGCTACAGTGTGGAAATGTTAAAATTCAGACAGAACTAAATCGCAGAAAAGTCAAAGTAGAAAATCATTTGTTGTTTAAGATCAGTTTGATTTTCAGTTCGAACTAAAACAAATTCTTCTGTTTTAAATGACCTTTTGTGTTATTATGAGTGTGAATGATCATTGTGTTGTTTATAAATAAATTTATCCTACACTTATTTTCACTCAGAATTAAAACAAACCACAAGTCGCGTAATCCCAAACGTTTTATTTTGGCAAAATAAAGAAAAGCTAATGTGCTTTTGAAAAAGGTATAAATTCACCAGATTGTCYAAACTGGAGAATCCACTATTTTTTCTATGTTTTTCAGGCTTTCTTTGTTGATTTTTGGAATTCCAGGCAGAACATCGCCTTTTTGTTGCAGCACGGAAAAAAAAGGTTTTCTTATAGTTTTTTAACCTGATAAAGAATCAAACATCCCAACACTTAGATGCAACGATTTTTCAGAGACTTTATGAAGGTTAAATAAAAGATTGTGTGTAAAACATTTCAACTTTCTTTTGAAAATGGTAAAAAGTGATATTGGTTGAAACGGAAATGAAAACATGTCCGAAATTTACTGAGTATAAAAAGTGTTCAACATTTAAAGTCTTTCAGAAATAGACTCTGTTATTATGGTATAATTTTAATAATAATTCATTTAATTTATATTTAATTTAATTAATTTCATGAAAATCTGTCCTGGAATACTTTAATAATTTTGAAATACAATTTTAAGGTAATTTTGCCATTCTGATGACAACTGTAGACATGATGAAAAAAGAAGTAACATGGCCTAATCTATCATATTCTGCATGTACTACATTAAAGTCTGACTGTAATATAATCTATGTGCTGATCTGTCCTGCCTACAGTCCAGTTCCTGCCTCCATCTGCTCTCCAGTTTTCTCAGCACCAAACCATAAATTATTTGTTCAACATTAATAAAACATTCATTTGGAATTGTTCTACATTACTATATGTTTCCTGTATTTTGTTGATCATTCACATACACTTCCTTCTTTTTGGGAAAATCCCATCCTATTTGTTTGTTTAAAACACTTTGGARARTTTGAATATTCATTAAAGAAAGCTGAMGTTTTATTTTGAAATCTYACACAAATGCTGAGGCAGCACAATATGGAACAATGTTCACTTACTGTCAGCCTTTAAGGAGAGGAACAGCCGTGCTAAAACACAGAAATCCAGGAGAGTCCAGCAGGAGTTGGGCCTCATGATGCTTCCTGTCTTCATCCAGTAGCAGCCAGCTCAAATAGGAGACGCTCCACTAAGCACATCATTATTTGTTCAACAAAAACCAGTGTCGAAAAGGATAAAATGTGTCGCTTCCTCTTTGTAGCGTCGACTCACTCTCCCCATTCAAACTACAGCACCTGTTCCCCTTTTTACATAAGGGGGGAATAAAGTCAGTGGGTGGTCTCACTTCTGTAGATTGTGCAGGTCCAAATCAGTGAAGCTTCTCAAAACAGGGGGTTCCCACATTATTCTTCTACAGCAAACATCTCGTGCTGCACTAAAATCTCCCTCTTTCACACATTCTCATCATTTCTGAGGCTTGATTCAGGCTGTGCACCGTGAGACCGCCTTCATCAGTTCTTGACAGTGTGTGGTTTATCTTCAAGCTGACTTCCTCTCCCCTCTCTCTCTTTCTTCTTTCCTTTAATCTTCACCTTCTGCACCTCCTGCAGACCTGTTCAACCGTGTGCATGGCTCTGTGGTTCAATGGAGATTTTAAAGTTCTCTGAAGAGGAGAGAATAACAACAGCCTAAACGGCCATTCTTGTTGATGGTTTTGTCTGTGGTTGTTATCAGGCAGCACCACTGGTAGACAACTGCTTATCTTGAAGCACTTTTATCTCAGGGTTAGATTATGGTTGTATGGGTTGGTTTGGGGAGGTTGACCTTTACTTTGAAGAAGAAAATCAACTTTGCCTGCTGTAATAATTATCTTTTCAATTCAGTTCTTCTACCTTGTGTGCAAACAAAACTATCTAAAAGAGCATAATAAAAGTCCTTCATGTAAAAACTAATCAAATTTATAATCTGTAAGCTCACTTTTATGTCAACATAGTCTTTTGTAACACTAAAATAGATTTATAATAAAAGGTTTTTAATCACTTTTCTAGTTTATTAAGCATGGATTTGCAAAATTTAAGAATAGCAATAAATACAATTCTGTTATATTTAAAATTAGGTACATAAACATCTGGAAAAAAAATTGTAAAAACGATTTTGGAACAACAGCGACCTCTGATGGTGATTTCTGCTCTGTACAAGCCGTTATGTGCCTTCTCATTGCGTAATGACGTAACGAATACGTGCAAGACGGGGCGAAAATGGCGGAGTATCTGGCGTCCATTTTCGGCACAGAGAAAGACAAGTGAGTTATAATCATTATTTTTATTGAATTTATTTCTTCAGCTCGAACTTTTRTGCAGGAATTGCTTGTAGCTGATTTTGTTCACCACCAGCTGGAGTTTAATTTRTTCTCGCTGCTCTTCTGAAGGTCCAAGTTATTAAATTAGCGAAGGGAAGCTAACTGGGAGCTACCTCATTGAATGAAACTCACGAGTCTTTCCAGCTACCCGAAGCGATTATTGTGCTGTTTGTTTGTGCCGAAATCTTTTCAAGTTATTATTTTTGCTACCTTTACCAGTTTTGTGGTGCACTTTCTGTTCTACTATAAGAATACATTTAGGATAAGAAAGCCACGTAACGCTTAGCATGTGCAGCTTGTGTTAGCCTGTCAAGTTGGTAGCTGTTCAGTGAGTCTGTGTAAAGCTGACTTTATAGTATTTGTTGTTGTTTGTTTCCATTGTATTGTTTTGACGTGGTGTTTAAGGCATTTTGAAACCATTAAAACAATGTTAGCTTTGAACTGTAGAGTTAACTTGTATGCAGTTATCACAGTAATTGCTAACACAAGCATGGGAGGAACTGACCAGGCTCCAGCATGTAATGTGCGCATAGAAAAGGGGGAAATAGAAATTTTAGGTTATTTTGTTGTCTTCAGAAACTTCAACTTTTAATGTTGCATTATTAAAAACAAAACATCTTGATTTGAATAATGTACAATACACACTACTGGTCTAAAGTTTTAGAACATCCTAATTTTTCCAGTTTTTAAATGTCAAATTCCAGTAGCTCACGTCCAATGAGCAGCTTGAAGGGGTACGTGCTGAACTGCTAGAGGTTTAAAAACATGTAAGTTTACCCAAACCAGAGATTCAAGGTGTCTGAGAGCCCAGTTTCATTTAGTATCACAATTCACTCAGAAACAACTAGGTATATTTACCTGCGTATAGGGCTGCCACAAACGATTATTTTTATAATCGATTAATCACCGGTTATTTTTTTTCGATTAGTCGACTAATCAGATCATACGTTAATTGAATATAAAACATACAGCTTATCGCGCCAGAATGCAGCTGCTATTATATTGTTAGATTTTAACTATATGCTAACAAAAAATAACTGCTGTGAAGGCAAGTTCTGCCTTGCAGATATTGCACGTTTCTCTTTCATTTTCTTAAAATTATCCCACACTTTTGAGCTCCGTTGCCGGGTAGCCATGATACCAGAGCCTGTCTGTATAATGTTATGTGACGTCCACGGC